TATATATATCCTAAAACACATTTAACTCGAAAGCTCTCGGAACTGTACGGGTTCATTATATTTTCAATAGTACAGATGCGTTTAACACTAGACCGTGCATTTTATTTATCCTGAAATCTTTAGCTGACTACTCAAAATCATCCGCAAGTTTCACTGAAATTCTGAGGATAAAACCGTTAGTCCACATGTTTTAGAATACTCATACTAGTATAACAATCCCTATATATTTCGACGCCGTAAGGGGAACAAACTAGAACGAATTCCATAGTTTGCCGTTTTCCTTCGTCTTCCCAATAGTATATGTAGCAATTTCTTGGAAAGAAGACGGAATTTGCTTGCAACGGGTAGACGAGCTCACCGCGCCTATAACATGAAAGTGTGAAACTCACACAGTGATAATGCTGTTTTGCTTTGGGCTCTTTTCTTCCTTGTCCTCACCAGTTGTTTTAAGATTTGAATTGGTAGCAGTTTCGGAATCATCCAATATCAAGTACTTGTTTTCTGCAACGATCGTTTCAGTACCTGAAGGAATGCAAATATATGTGACAGGATGTTGCTGGAGAGCAGCTTCGATTGTCTGATTGTCGGTAGTAGCGTACGTGAACGTTGCTTCATTGGTCCCCTTGTCACTCGACATGATTGCACAAAGTTTTGAGTTTAGTGGCAACTAGTTCTGAAATGCAAATGCAAATGATATTAGAAAGGCCTAATATTGCTTGATTGGTAACAAACTACGTGTTAAAGTGGGTTAAACAATGGCCATCACCAATGCATAAAAGATGCTCGTTTGTAATTAATCTGACTTAATTGAAGCCTATTAGGTTAGTGGTTATTGGTAGCGGCTTGCAGTCAAGCGGTTTTCTGCCGCATCATCGATAAGTGGAAGAAATATTCGACAGAATCGGACGCCGATTTTTCTTAGAAATTAAAAGCCAGCAAACGCAAGGTCACACGGAAAGACATCACGCAGTGACTCAATCCACAGAGTTGAACATGCAACACATGTCGGCTAATATGTGACCCGTAAAATCTCTACTCATTACGTTGCATCGGCCAGTTGCTAGCATTTACTCACGTGCACAGAAGCTTAGAAAGGTTTACGTTCTTCTCCACGACGGACGGTTTCCGCTTCGGTACGCACGAATTCCATGTTAGTCATTTGCAATTTCATCTGATACCGCCGAGCTCTCTGTTTCAAAGTCAACTTAGGGAATCTCACGTGTACCAATACCACTACTCGGTACAATGATACACATAACTTAAGGATGATGGACGGCGTTTTCATAAATATGTGGTGTTTTCTAATGCAAGCGAATATGTATATACGTATTAACCAACGTCTAGCTGGTTTTTATCACTGTTAAGAATCACTCAGGTGCTCTAAAACGCCTTCTCAAAGTGTAACGTTGCCAAATCAACATTCAGTGATTTAGCATAAAATTCACAGTAATCGCGGATACTTTAAAGAGTCACGTATTCTGTGTGAAGGTACATGTCTTGAGCCATCTGCTTTGAGGATTTTTTAACCAAAACATCGGTTAACCTGACGAATGGCTTATTTTTGCCGGTACATTTACATCCCATCTGTAGGTATGACCTCTTTACCCACAGGCAGTTTCCGGAGACTGCTCTCAAAGACAAACTAAAGTACTCTTCGGACATTCCCCGCTTTCTAGGTCTCCTCCATTTTCGTAGCTCTACGTGTCCTCCGGCGATCTACGTCTACGATCTACTACGTCTTGATCGGCCTCTGATTGCTCCTCAAGCTGAATTATGCTCTTCACAGGCGGGAACGATTCTCAGAGATTTATTCAGCACCACTGTCCTGACCTGGTAGAGGATTGCCACAAACAAAACTTTCGGCAATTGGGAATGGCGTGCGGATGTCTCTGCAGTCCGGCTTGACACCCGACGGCGAGGCAGCTGGAAGAGAGTCCAGAAGGCAAGTATGGTAAATTCGTATAAATTCGAGATGCACCAGCATCTAAGTTGCTCAATGAGTTGCCCACCATTTGTGCAGCCGTGGAAAGCATATTTGAATAGGAACGTGGTCACAATCCACACGGTTGTAAAAGGAACGATGGTCACTTATTTTTCGGTATTTCGATAATTGATGCCGATGTTTCCAACTTGTAGCAGTGTCTAAGACGCTGCTAGAGGACACTGCGACCAGACGAATTTGGTTATTTCGGAAGCTTACACTGCATGAAAATAGTCTGTGGTTAACACCTAGCTAGAATCATTTGTTCTCCATTGTCGGTATGTAGCAAATCGAATGCAAATCATTTACTTATTTGAGTTCACATGCGGCAAGTCTTCCCACTTGTGAATTCAATTCTCCTGCACGCGCTACAAAACCTGGGCTTTTAGTTTACTGAATCGGAGCAATCAAGGCGTAATAAAACTTGCCTCTGATGGCATCAGAACCACAGTCAGTTAGAGCGTGAGCAAACACGACTAAAAGGCAACGCTCACTTTCCCGCTTGTGTGACTGTATAATAAATGTTGCTGCACAAACCACACAGAGACAGCTATCGCTGGGTGTCCAGCAAGCAAGTTTTTTTCCCTCCGGTGACTTGAGATTACGCCAACCCTTCCACGTCCTGTTACAGTAGCCACTGAATCGTCAGGGATGCTCGGCGGAAAACTAGTGGAGTGCGAGAGGGCGGTTATCTTAACCATTGTGCTTGCATCATGAATTCCTGTTTCTGATACGCAGCACACACACATGTCAAACAAGTCCAGTGTGAGAGCAAGAGCAGTTTGTTGTCTTGCTTGCTTCAGATGGTAAACATTAAATGCGGCTACGTAGAATGGTCCCTGTGACATGAAGATTGAATTCGGGATGCCTGAGGCGTTGGGCAACGGCTTAGGCGTATGTGTTATGGATAAGAGGGAAACAAGGCAAACGGAGTCTTCAGTAAAACCGGAGAGAGTCCTACAGAGAAAGAGGTGGTTATGCAGGGGTTAAGGAAAGTAGAAGTATATGATAAAAAGGTGAGCATCAGCAATAGTCTGCTTTCGCTTACCCACCCTTGTTTAGGCAGGAAGTGACGTGAACTGGTTAATAATGCCACTCGACAGCCGATGCAGCACGACAGTATTGTTCGCTGTAGGGATCCTGACTTTACGTGGTCTTGGATAACGCCAGGGCACGTAGATCTAGACAGAAAGACAATAAGAGTACTCGACGAGATTCTTTTGCCTAAAAGCCTGACCGCCGTGCAGCGTTGGCAGAAAAGTGAAAGTTACCTCAAATGTCTAAACCGTCAAGTTGGTGGATCAGGAGACTGAGCTAGTCAGAGTTCCATCCATTTTGGTTAGCATAACACATCAAATTACTCAGTTTTAATGACGAATTAGTAACGAACTGAGCATGAATGATTCACACACAACCATTTCAAAGCCTCCACGGTAGTAAGTTCTTATTAACTTTTGGAAAACCTCCGTAATTTTGTGAAAAGCAAGAAACACTTGGCAACACTATAAAACATTGTCAAAATCGTTTGCGTGAAAAATTAACCTTCTGAGTTTCAACCTATTGCGTTGATTGACGTGGTGACGACTAGATGTAAATGACTGAAAACGTCGTTGATGTTTACGTTTATTAGAGTACACAAATACCTTGTATTTGACATCATGGGTACTAGTCATGGTGTTCAGCCAACTAGCTAATACCGCAGAAACTCAGAAATTAAACCGGTTGGACCTACCGCACCGTAGCCGCCACCTCGTCTGCGTACAACCAAAATTTGTTTGAAGACCAGAAGCCAAAGAATGTGTTTATTGATGTGAAACTGACCCAGATAATCCAAACACACACGGCAAAAACTTATGGGTACAACGGGGTTGTTGCGGTTGACATCCTGCTGAATGGATTGGCATCAATAACCACAAACCGTCAAGTGTCGTGCAGGTCTTTAAAATGCATCCGTCTTGGTTCCGTGCAACCGAGCAGATTATTCTCTGGACAGACGGTCGTTACTTTCGTGAAGATGTTGTCTATGAATTCACTATAAAATCAAGGGTGCATTTTCGAAAACATATAAGCAGCTTTTTAGTTTCGCTTCGGAAATACCTCACCTATTTTTGAATTTTTCTGCCTGAGACAAGCTTTTTTCAGGTGATAAAAGTCACTGTGTATTTACTGATCTAGTGAGAACCTTTAAATATTTCATATAAGCTGCGTTACAATCGATAGTCACATGATAGTGGTGGCCTGACAAATATCTATTGAAAAGAAGTCAGCCGGTGAGGGAACGTTTTCAAAGTATGTCTGTACTTCAGAATTGCAGCCCTGAGTTAGCTGAGGTTACCAGTGATTTTAAGCTACGATTTCTACCATTGTGCTGAAATGCACCCTCAACGAGCGGAAAAAAAGTTGACCTATGCCAGTACGTGCCTACCGGGTCATCTGCTAGATAATTGAAGTAGCTAACATCCAGCGTTGTACCTCCAAACAAATGCGGCTGCATAATGACTGCTTGACCACAGGGTCTTGTAATTATCTAGGAAAAATTCGCTAAAGTATTATAAATTGTAGCACTATTTCTATGCCATTGCCCGATGAAATACTATTCTCTTCCCGTTTTATAGATTTATCTTAAAGCAACCGGTAGGATAATTGATATGAACGAAAGTGATAAGAGATATATACCATCGCTTAACCAACAACCAATGGATCACACCAAAACCAGTCGATTCGCCAGTTCATTGGCCCAAAAACTTTTCCCGAGTTAGCGGAATTGGTCTGTTCAGGTTGAGCCACTTTGTTGTAAACGAGCAGGGTCTAACCACTATCCACCTGAGCAGGAGCCGATAACTGACAAGATTGGTATATTTATTGGCTTGATCTGCTGCGCCAATGAGACCAGTTCCATCACCGTTGTCCTCAAGGAAGCCATGTTTCAGTTAATCAGATAGCTACATGGATATTTATGTCGCTAAAACACGCAACTACTTAAAATGTGGTTGGAAAAATATCCCAATTCAAGTGTAAGCCTGGTGGTACGTCTCAATATGATGACGGAAAAGTGCCGATTCATATGTAGTGAAATTGGAAAAAACTTTTGGGGTAACATGACAGGACTCAAATACCTACCCAGGCTATCAGGCCAGGACAGAAATCGAACTACGCTGCTTCTCTGCCCTCAGGGTTCACACCTAGGATAGCGAAATGGATCACCGTTGGATTTATTGGTTTACGAGAGGTAGATTTCCTAAGTTTACAAGAAATGATCTGCCGTGCCATTCAGGTTTAAAAGTACCCTATGTACATATAACTGAGCACACTCAAACCTACGGTTTTAGCTGCTTAGGCAGGGTGAATGCAACGGATACTGATTCAAAGACCGTCCACTTAGATGGGAATAATATCATCAATACCGATTAGTCGACAGTTTGGCGCACTTCGACGATAGGAATGAGCCGTGCCATGACTCGATATTGCGGGACGTTTATTAATGCACCAGATTATTTCGTTTTAATGAAACGCTGTACTTCACATACATTTTACAGGTGGCCTTAAGACGCCATCCCAACCAGCACCACATAAGTGTGCACCAAAAGCTACGGCTTTCTCTGGACATCCTAAAAGACGGCTGAGAGGGTGGAACGATTTTCCGGTGGAATATTAAAGAGGCTAGTCCAGTTTTGTGTGAGGAAATATCCGGGAGCTGAAGACTAATTTTTCTAGGAGTTGAATAACGTCGTTTGTTTATCCAACAAACTTGCGACGGATTAGTCACACTACTTTATTGCACCATAAAAATGAAATAAATCGCAACGAATTTATTAAACTATTACGCAATGTCCAAAATGATAGAATTTTCCTGAACTTCAACCCGTCCTCCTTAAACATCATAATTAAAGATTACACTTTGTATGTTTGTGCCGAGCAGCATACGTTGGTCATCGACAAGCTATTTGTCGGACAGAATGCGAGAACACATTCCCGTGTCTCTGATTGGTAGTTGGAAGGAGCCAGGCTAAAGTGCCAATGTATCGCACTTCACCCAGTCATGTTGTCAGCAAGTCTCCACTACCATATACCGGGTACCTTTGAACCTATCACGAATGATAGGAACCAGACTACTATCGATCACAGACGCGATTGGAATCCGACTGCCTGCGAACCCCACAACTTTGCGTCCAAAAGAAACCTGTTTGACCTCAGAACTTGAACTGGCCTGCGAAAAATTCGGTCCCACAAGCCTGTCTGACAATGACGTCACTTACTTGATTCCGTGACCCATTGACCTACCCCTCATTCAGACATCCATTCATCAGATTCATTTCTTTAAAGTGAATATGCCCCCAATTATAACCTTTTTCACGTGATTTTTGGTACCATATAAATTTATGATTCACTACCCAAGAGGAACAATCACACGGTTTGTTCGATATCCTCTTTCTTCTCACGACTATTTCAAGAAAGTGTGTCAAACACAACAAAGTGTAGTGCGTGTGGTGAAATTTAATCCCCCCACTATAATGTGGTAGTTGCATTTTGTTTTGGTGGCCACATCACCAGTCTAACTAATGTTGCAGAATTCACACCTAGGACAAGTACCCTTTGGTACGACTTAAAAGACCGAGTTAGAAACGACGAGATCGGTTTTCCTAGAAACCGCATGGAATACTGCTATCTGAGATGGGTGCCGGCAAGCACACTTGCCGCCCAAGTGTACAACGTTTCTGCCAAATCAAAATAATGTCATTTGGATTTTGATATGTTAGGCAAACATGTGATGAATCAATACAATTGTCATTTGGAATTGCGTGCACTGTAGTCCAGTTACTTTTGATACAGCAGCAACATTCAAACCATCTCTTCTCAAAAAAGATCCAGCTTAGCTATGGATTGTTCACCTGAAGAGTTCACGTAGACCGTTCACAGTTGCACCTGAAATTTGGTTGCAACCTTCCACGGCGATTTGAACGTGCATTTGACCGTTGATTCCAGTTCAGCACTTTAGTGGGTACTTTTTGTGAACTTGCCATTCTAGACGGTCGACACTTTAGAATTCCAGGGACTGTAACATAAGCAGATGTGCCTGTCGCATGCTTCAGTCGACCGTACAAATAAAGTTTATTATGTAGCATCCGCGTTACGCCATTCATCTCAGCGCTTTCAGTAAAGGTATTGTCATAGCAAGATAGCCAAAGGACACAGTATAAAAAAAATTGCATCCAGCTGCGTTGCAAGGCTTGAACACCTTATTCTTTTGTTCCTCGATCAGCAACACAAGCTCTCTCTGAGTGTCTGAGGCTAAATGTACGATCTCCGCCGATTCCTGAACCATCAACATCAGAAGTTCTCCAACTGAACAGCTAGCTCGTTGAACTTTATCCTTCTGAAGTCTTATACTCTCAGGTGGTCCTCTACGAGCACTTGTTCACTGAAGCGTGCGTAACGATCGGCTCATCGTCATCATCATCACTGTCAGCTGTAATAACCGCGTACTTGTCGTACAGTGGTTGTAGCTGCCGCAGTTTCGTTCACCGATGATTCGGGGAGGTGTGGTAGAATGGCCGTGTACTGGAGGCGGGAGTTGATAGATTGGTGCGTAAATACTGCCCTGTTAGTGGACTATCAAGCGGGGGTTGCTAGGACAAGTACCCTTTGGTACGACTTAAAAGACCGAGTTAGAAACGACGAGATCGGTTTTCCTAGAAACCGCATGGAATACTGCTATCTGAGATGGGTGCCGGCAAGCACACTTGCCGCCCAAGTGTACAACGTTTCTGCCAAATCAAAATAATGTCATTTGGATTTTGATATGTTAGGCAAACATGTGATGAATCAATACAATTGTCATTTGGAATTGCGTGCACTGTAGTCCAGTTACTTTTGATACAGCAGCAACATTCAAACCATCTCTTCTCAAAAAAGATCCAGCTTAGCTATGGATTGTTCACCTGAAGAGTTCACGTAGACCGTTCACAGTTGCACCTGAAATTTGGTTGCAACCTTCCACGGCGATTTGAACGTGCATTTGACCGTTGATTCCAGTTCAGCACTTTAGTGGGTACTTTTTGTGAACTTGCCATTCTAGACGGTCGACACTTTAGAATTCCAGGGACTGTAACATAAGCAGATGTGCCTGTCGCATGCTTCAGTCGACCGTACAAATAAAGTTTATTATGTAGCATCCGCGTT